GAAAATGTTTCTGACAAAACTTACGTACTTTTTAACGTGGAATGCGAATCTGTTATAAAAAGTGGGGGTTCCCATTTTAGATTTTAAAGTTGTCCCCCGCCCCACCCACAGGGGTGGGGGAGGGGAGGTCAATTTTGGTATCATTCGATAGCTCTTTCAAAAATAGGAAATACGTATTTTTCCGTTTTCCGATCCATCCACAATTTCTCGGGATATTCAACCGTTCCGGGACTTTTAGACCACCCTGTACATAAAATATCGTTAAACAATAAATCTGTAGCACTCTCAGTATTTTGCATGAGGTAGATCTAGCATACTTTCTTCTTATCGAGAGAAAATTGATTTAATGTTTGTACTTCAGGCTACCCTACGCCGATCTCTTCGGCGGCGTGTCCGCGATGTCGCGCGAACACTTCCAGCTGGTCAACGGCTTCAGTAACGTCTTCTGGGGCTGGGGTGGCGAGGACGACGATATGGCGAATCGCATCAAGGCCCACGGCCTGCACATCTCGCGATATCCGGCAAACGTCGCGCGCTACAAGATGCTCACGCACAAAAAGGAGAAGGCCAATCCGAAGAGGTGAGCCGAAAAAGTCGCTTTTTATTCCGGATAACTGGCTTGAAAATCCTCTTCGGGCCATATAGTAGTTGAACGCTTAATTTCTGATGACAGGTACGAGTTCCTCAAGACAGGCAAGAAAAGGTTCTCCACTGACGGGTTGGCTAATCTGCAATACGAGCTGAGCGACAAGCGGAAGCCAAAGCTGTATACGTGGCTCTTAGTGAGACTGACACCGCCGCAGCCCAGCTGATGGCTACCATGGCTCGGCTGAAGGCTCCTGCAAGCCAAGCTTATCCCTAGCGAGGTCAATGCGATTGTATTGCAAAACCGCGACCCTGGAGCTCGCCGCTCGTCAAAGAGGCAAGACTAAAGATGAGAAACATTTCCGCGAAAAATATCTGCGAGAGAAACTCGAAGGTGTTCTCTTGAAGACGCTCCTGGAAATGCTGGAATTCCGATTCATCGACGAAGAGACGAGATCCTGAATGCACCGGCCATTTTTATCCCTAACTGACTTAGCTGCGAACACTTCTGGGCCATCCAATAAATAATTATATCGTAGAGTACGGCCTGTTGGAGAGAAATGAAAAGTTCGAATGAATAATTAGAAACAGAATAATGAGAAACGTTCCATAAGATTTTATTACTCTCAGTTAGAAGTTATACCGGTATACTAACACGATCTCTTTCTGTATTTAGGATCGCCGTGATTGATCCTATTGTTCTTCCGTTCGCCAAAGATTGTTCTTGATATATCTTTTTTTTTCCAATTGAAAAATTAGTAAGACCGAAGGACTAAAATTAAGATATATCGTTTGCATACTGTATTATTCGTGAGATGAGAAATTACTGGGAGTTTGGCGCACAGGAAGGATTGGGTGGAGCGCGTCAGTGGTAGGGATAGGGAAAGGAAAGATGCTTCCACGTCGAGGGGTTGTCGAGTATCTCGCCGCTGCGTGAGGGTCTCGTCTTCAGTTTCTCCCTCCTCTCACGGAGGGGATGTTGTTACGTGATATATTTTTATTCCTCATATTTTTTTATCGCGATGATAGGTTAAAGAGCGAGTAGAAAATAGCATACGAGCTGACGTGCCAAAGGAGAATGTACATGAGTGTATGTGTGTACGTGCGTGCGTGTGCTGTACGGAAGAAAGGGGGACGAGAAAGCAGGAAGAGACCGAAGAAGCTTCAATATCCTTCTTAGAGCCAAGCTACGGTATTATATACGCAAAGCAAGCTGTCGTCGCTCGAGGGGACTTTAGAGAGCTTTCGCTTTTACAGCTTATACATCGTAATCACCAACAAGTGATCACCGTGCATGATAAAACCTCGTTAGCGAACAGAAAGGAATAATCAGACAGTGAAGATCTGAGAGATTATACAATGCCCTTAATAATAATAATAATAAGTCAGCCAGTAATCATTTTGAATTTTAGCGATTCGAGAGTCGCTTCCAACCCTTCCACTAACGAGGAACCATTCTACGGTGCTAAAAATAGAGACTAGATTAGGGTGCGTAATGAAGGTGACAGAAGGGGCGGGTAATATCGCGGGTAAAGTTTCTTGTAGGATTAATCATACGAAATGCGAGAGGTTTCAAATCGCTTTTCAAAGTCGCATATCGCTCGTTACACCTCGATCCCGAGTGCGCGCCAAGTTCGTAACTCGAGCTTGAGTGGCGGGATTGGAGCTTATTTTTTTACGGGGCTGTAAATTATCGATTGGCTTCGTTGCAAGGGGATTGAGTTTTCGATATCAGCGCGAGCGGCTGTGTGAAATAAAGAAACGGTACTTAATTGTTGTTTATCATTTATGTTGTCTGTCGTTTGCATTTGTTCGCGTACATTTAGCCGAGAAAGAGAGAAATTGTGCTCTTCAACATGAAAGGATAAGTGCTTCCATACATTTATTTCATACTTGTACGGAACACGACCCGCAAAACTTCTTCCATAGACGACTTGATTTTCAAGTTTAATTGCACCAATGTCAATTAAAATTGGAAAAGTTTTATTTTCAGAAGAGACAGTTTCTAACTGATGTCGACTAAGTTTAACTTAAATTTAATTATTGCTGTATCTCTCTAGAGAATTGAAACTAATAGAATTACTTAAAACAAAATTGAATTTAAGGGAAGCAGTTTAAAAAAACCTTAACGAAAAATCGTTAATAAAAGGAGAAACTTTTAATTAACAAATTAGCAGTAACGAATTGCTCGATTTGCTCTTCGAATCGGCATATAATTATACAATCATTTGCATGATACAACTATTTAGTGTGCGGATCGAAAGGTCCATTTGGATATACGCGAGCGAGAAGATTTATATGCGGAACGATAGCAAGCGCAGTCAAGACTTAGGATACACTAACATATCATGTCTTGTCATAGACACATGTGTGAAACTTCACTGTGCTGTGGACGAGCATACTTAAGCGTTAAGCGCAAGCGAGAGCACGGGCTGTGAATAATGCGTCTTTTTGCGGTTGAACGAATTATAAGGAGCAGGACAGTAAACCGACTTGTTGCGACGACGAGCGACACAATTAACATCCTTTTCCTTCCGCATCGCGCAATCGGCAGCCGATCGATACCTTATCCCCGTCATTTCAGGGCTCTCTGAACTCATCCAGCGACTTTCCCAAGTTTTCTGGCTTATTACTTTGCGTCTTACGATTTCTTAAAAGCGCCTCTTGAAACCTTCCTTTAAATCAGCTAATATCAGCCGTTTAATAATAACTAAAAGAATTCTCTGTTGTTACATTCATTTATTTATGATGGGGCTAAAATCCGATTAAAAAATGTTGACGAGCTTATTATTTGATTAATCTAACTTCTACTTGTTTTTCATGTATGAGCAAAGAAATGACAAACGCAAAGTAATGCCATAGTTACTTGGTGAAGGAATCAGCTGATGTTCGCGTTGTACAAGGTGACACGAAGATTTCGATTGAGAAATATATGGGATATGCGGGAAATGTATTGGATGTGCTTGGTGCGTTCTTCTTATTGCCGTTTCTGTGATTGAACATTCCGATATCGTTATTTGATCTGGATGTAAATTATCATTTCATGTGTTTTGTTGTCACTTTTACATCTAACTTGATCTCCTCAGACTCAAGACTTTCAATTTTCGTTTAAATGCGCTATTTTCATGTATAGTTAAATATATCAGTTTTTCTAATTAAAGAATGTAAAATTCTAATAAAGAGTAATTGCCACAATTTCAACACAAATATAACGAACAAAGAAATAAAAACCCACATGCTTTCCAAGAACTCCATTTGGTTAATCTTAAAATTCTTGTTCGATATAAGATTTACATTTGATGTAAAAATTGTACAAAAATTCTACAAATGTAGAATAGAAAGAAATCATAAAATGATTTTGTGTTTAGGAAAAAGACGGATAATTTAAGTAAAGTAAAATCATTTCGTAGAAAGAATAACTTTATGTGTGTTGTGTAGATTATTAAAAATCTGAGGAAGATTATAATTCACAAGAAGCTTGGAGAACTCTTAACAAAGATTTGACTTTGTTGAGAGATGTAAGAATTTCTCAAAAATGTAAGTTTCTTATATTTTTCGTGGATTACTAATTAATTTACTGTCATTGAGCGCAAAGCGGAGCGAAAGTGTGAGAAAAAAAACCGTGAGGGATAATATTTCAGTGTAGCTCTTAAGAGAAACCGTTGTATCATATATTATTACCGTTATCGAATAATCGGGAATATCTGTAAGTTAGGATAAAGGCGAAAGAAAATATTCAACGTGCACCGCAAAAGGAGTATAAGTTACAATTTCCAAAAGACGCTAAGTTGCATCAACATTAATCAAAACAAGCTATTATCAACTACGATACATGTTAATTTTTCATTTTTTGTCTAAATTCTCTTACCTGCAATTAGAAAATATTCTATTTTTATATCTACTGCACTGAACATATTGAATTAAATTACAACAAAAAAAAGAACTTATTAGAATTATCAAATAATTGTATAAGAATCACTGATCTGTACATGGATAGCTGTTACCTTACCACATAAATTTTTATTTCAGTGGACGCCACCATTTTCTAAAGCAAGTTACGAAAATGTAGGGATTTTGAACAATCTAAATTATTGTTCATGGTTGTTTTGGGACTGTTTTTTTCTATTTCATTTTGTAGTAATGTAATATATCATGAAAGATACTTTCATAAAATTTATAGACCGAGTAGATATTTGTTAATTTACCAAATATTGACGAACTATTAAAAAATTCATTTTTATTTTTAAACCGGCCAACCTGTAATATTTAAAAACTGTTTCATTTTATTATTTATTTTTTTAGTACATGTTCTTGACGTATATTCATGAGATAAAGATAAACCTCTTGCATACACATAATATGAATAAAACAATATATGAAATCTCATCTGTAAAATATTCATTCATTTGTACACTTGTTAGTAATATTGCAGAAGCAACATCGTCTCATTCTGTTACATTCGCAGAGCAAAAACTTTTTATAATAATTTTCCAATCCCACCAAGCTATCACTTTAGTACAAACACAACTAACGAGCATATGTCATAATTTACCCTTGAACATGGCGACATGTAATTGACAATACATAAAAATATGCGTAACAGCTATCCATATATTCAAATTATTGATAAGAACCGGATCCTGTCATTAGATTTCTAACTTGTACTTATATTTTTCCGGAGCACGCTGTATGCAAGATGTGTCGTGTAAAATAATCCAGTCGCTAGTTAATGTGTAATATAAAAGATATTTTGTTTCCCGGAATATTGCGCGTAATTAAATTAAGCTTTCCACCCCTTGAAGATGTGATTGGGTTCATTTACATGGGACATTTCGCGTATCTTGAATATGCCAGGTAAATTTGGTGCGTTCGATTGCCGTACGAGAACCTCGCAGGACGTGGTCATTCTATTCCTTGCAGTTCTGCAACTTTGAGAGCTTCCGTCGAGGAGACGAGACTTTTATACGTACCATTATATACCATGCACATACGGATTTTTGCGCACACACGGAATGTAATTTAGGAGATTTATTTATATACCAAGAAAGAAAGAGAGGGATTATTTCGTGGCGTCACGAGAGTTGTGTAGTTACGTAGTTTTACGATCAATTTATATTATTACCGTATAGCTATTGTTACGCTAGGTTTATAAGAAATCGTTTGGAGCGTGGAGCGTAGTTATTTTTTAATACATCCATCGTTATCGCGAAGTGCGGTTCTCGTGCGGCGTGTGCGATTGTGGAACACCAATCTCAGAGAAGACGAGATAGTGAGTAAACATAAGCACCCCGTAAATGAAAAAGAAAATAATTGCTAAGTATTTATATGAGAAGATAGGCGAGACAGGGAGAAAAACGACGAAGCGCCCAGGCGTAACATAATTACGATGTGTAATATGTACATTATATACGCGATATATTCCGTCGCTGGTTAGAAAGCGTCAGAGTTTTCAAAGCGCGGACACGAGGACTTTTCGTATTGTGAACATTGTCAAGCGCGAGATGAGAAGATATTCTGCGAATATTTCGAATGAGGATATAAATACACATAATTATGAATTTTCTAAGAGTTTCTATAACTAGCGAGAGATAAGTTGAATTCAAACTTGTGTATGTACTATATATATGTATATATATATCATATCTGACGGAATATACCGGAAGTTCTCGGAATGTTTTCTGAGCTTTTGGGATTGCAACGTTTGCAAGACTCGTCAAAATGTGTATTTCGGGAATTTAACATAGTATTTTCAGATATCTTACGAACATTTCTATAATATTACTATACATACTACATAAAAATTATCAGAATATCCTGAAAATATTTTCAGGATATTATCCGACTCAGACGAGAATATCTTCTCGACAACGTGCTCGTCTCGCATCATCTGATTGGATTGATATCTCGCAAAAAAAAAAGATAACTAAAGTAACCGAGAAGAGAATCTATCAGTTAAAAGCAACCGGTGTCTAATTTTCATAAAAGTCCATCGAAAAGGAAAAGTTACGAAGATCGATGATGATGTCTACGTAAATCGGCCAAGAGAAAACTAAAAGTAACGTGGACACATAAATTAGAAGGGACTATCCTCGTGTACGTAACACTTGCTTCTTCTCGATTTACCAGAACGTCTGGGAGACCATTCCTTTTCACAAGTTACATTTGTGATGTAATGAAACAATAAATTTCTGTTAAACTACATTGTTCTTTCTCTATCCTTAACACCATTGTCCTTTTCAGAAACTAATTCAGCTCCGAACATTGCTATTTATTTAGTTTGCAACGGTAGTCGTAGATAAAGTAAAGCCTATCAATGTAATTTTTCATACATAACTTTGAATATAAAATCAAATCTATTAGTCGCACAGTACCATAAATCGATATTTGAAATCGTTTTAAGGATCGCGAAAGGAGAGGAAAAGATTTCTGTTTTCTCTGTGCAAGGATAAATTGTCAGAAGACGCACACATATCAGATATACATACGTATATTTGATTCGTGCTGCTTATGGACTACGAACATTTAGCGCAAAAATGTATATAACGTTCCTGTGATAATACGATGCACAAGTGCGATGATAGTGTGCGAGTAGTTACGCGGCTACGTAAACTTATCGTCATTTAGAAATCATTATTTAGCAGCGTACATTGGACATCCGGTCCGAGGTTTATATCCGCCACCGGCAATACGTGATAAAACAACGTAGTAAAAAGCATTTCTTAATTCCTTCTTGACCACAAATGTCTCAACGAAATCTCAAGCATCCGAACCTTTTAATTATAAATGAATTATCGATAAATAATTTCGTAAATGAAATATTGAGATTGTCATATTCACACAAAAGACTGCATTTGAACATTCTACATTATAAAAACTTATGAAAATTCCCATGTAAAAGTAAGCAAAATGTTTATTTACAAATTCAGTTTTCTTTATATTAAAAAAAGATAGCAAAAACTTTTTCCCTCCGAGACTTTTCGTCAAAAAGGTATTAACGAAAGAATGAGCATTTTCCATTCGATTGTTTCGTGCATCGTCTCGCGACAAATTCTCCAAACCTACGAAAACTCTACGAAACCACCAGAGTAACTATCTTAGAATCGATACAATTTGATCCGATAATCTAATAACGCTGCTCTTCGACAATATAACATTGACTAATGGACAGTACGTTATCATATAATGTATTACACCTGCTATATCTTTTTCAAAATCGAACGCGGCCCTCTGCTTACTTATTCGCAAGATCATAACCGGATCGATAATCGCATCGCGCAGAAACGAAGATCTCAACGTTATCCAATAAGACAGCATCGCGATAATTGCCCACAGATACGATATCTAAAACCAGGATACAATATATTTACGGTTTAACAATCGATAAATTAAATATCAATATAGTTAACGCTAAATCATGTTAACGCTCTTCGATTATTAGCGGCATTATTAGCGCCCTATCAGCTATTACGCGCGCGTATTTATTTATATAACGTATACATCAACACATTAAATGTTTAATATGTAATACATAATATTGCGGTATTTCGACGGCAATCGCTCGCAGCCGACATTATCAATGAAACCTTCATCAGCGCCACGAAGCCCGATGATTTTGGCAAATGATCCCTTCGGGATATAATTCTCCTCGGGAATGTAAACTTTCCACATAACGTATGAGCTAATTGCAAATTAGACCCGATATCGTATGAAGAATATGTAACGCGGACCTTTTCTCGATATTTATTTAAACGATTACGACGATATTTTTTTGTAAAACGGTCAAACGATTCTTCTTGCGAGAAACTTTGCTGAATTTCAACTAAGAAATAGCCCAGCTATTCAATCAAGGGCTCGACTGTCAACAATTACGTAAAGGGTCATCTCTCTATCCAGCACCATAATTGGGAATCGATCTACGAAACCTGGCGTCTTTTCTCAATTCTCCGTTTTCCTTTTTACCGTAATACGTTTACGACAAAAGTAACAAATGCGTATTAACTCTGGAATACGTAATTTTATGTAATCAGAATTCGAAAATTGCTCCAAAATAGTCTAAAAAAATTCAATCGCTCACTGCGCCGCGTAGATATACGCGTATGTAAAACATTCGAATCATATATAGGATTAAAATATGGCAGCGATATTTTCCGATTTGGACGGGACACTTTTTTACAATTAGCACAAGGCTCGGTATATGCGAGCGAGTTGTTTTTACTCACCAAAATTGTATAAATTCGGCTCATTGTGCAATTGAAAATCTTGGCGCGAAAACCAATATTATATACGCAATTATTCACGAAAAAAATGATGTGTATAAAAAAATTTACGTGTAACACTTTACAAATTTTAAATATAAAACGATAATTCATAAAGAATATCAATTACACGCGTTTTATACAGCTTAGCCTTTGACTAAACATCCTAATTCATTGTTTCATAGTAATTTTTATAAACACTCTTCGCTTGCTCTGGTAGATACTCAATGAAAGTTTATCTGGTTTGTTCAGTAGTTTTTTAAATACCTACACTGGTTAAACTTCAATATCTCGATATTTTGCACATATCTGATCGTCACATCGAGACTTTCAATTCTCCGATGAGACTTGAATAAAAAATCGAGCTTAATCCTCATCCACTGGCTCTTAAAACGCGAGTTGTACGATACTAATTTTATTAACCTAATTTCCAGAGTTAATACCATTAAAAACGATAAAAAAAACGAGTGTGTTAACACTCACACTCTCGTTTAGCAATGTTTGTGCGATATGTATGTAAAGTAATTGGCACAGGTATATGTATATTATACAAAATCCATTAGAAATTGATCCCACCCGGATTACTGCGATCCCTCTGTGCGGGTTATTAGCCTTCTTGAAAAAGAAACCACCATTGTCATCGTCATCGTACATTGATTGGAATCACCCGCGATCTTTCCCACGTCCCTCCAACGAATATAAGAAACCCCATCGGACTTATAATGTAGTTTCATTAAGAAAAATCACACAAAAATAGACGCCGCTGCGTCGGCATCCACGCTGTCTCTCTTCAGCGCTCGATAAAAATATGAATAATCAGCGAAGATCGTCACCTTTCTCAATTTTTTTTGTTTTAAACTCGCGAGCGGAAGCTGCCGGGACAGTTTGGCGAGGATTCTAATGATTGCCGTTGGTCTTCTTGGATTGGCCGTTGTCCGAGAGGTGTTTCCAAAGGCCCGTGATCAACGGCACGTCCCTGAAGCTATCGGCCGCCGGCTATCCTGCCTGCTACGAGCACATCAGATCGACCGACCTGGACTCGCCCCAGGCGTTCTGCACCTTGAAACCGGCGCTCGGCCGAGGCACCACGTGGTGCGCCGGGGTGGACGCCGTCGTGTGGTGCCTAAGCGTTGTCATAGGAATACTATTGTTACTCGCCGCGCTCTTCTTCTGGCTCTTCTTCACGTCCGAATCCTCTTCGAAGCATACCTGTCAAGAAGCGAACGACTCCTGTTACTCAACTAATTTTTATATTGTATTTTCCTCCATATATTGATTTCATTGTAGGATATTATAAATTATAAATAAATACGATAATTATTTCTTTTCGGATTGTCTTTAGAAATATTAAACTATTTAAAAAAGAGTATAGGAAATTAAGGCCAATGTGTTTACGAGCGATAAGTAATATGATAAAGTCGATGTTTAATTACTAAAATTCAGTGAGCAAAGTTCCATGGAATACATCAAGTCGAAACGTCGTCCGTTAGTTATTTATTATCCGTTAATTATTTACAAATTTCGTTATTTAATATCTGTTATTTATTATCAAATTTTATATTTAATTTTAACTAAACCTAGGGTTAAGAGAGGAAAAGCGTTACCTCGTATCATACTTCGAATTCATGTATTCCATGGAACTTTGCTCACTGAATTTTAGTAATTAAACATCGACTTTATCATATTACTTATCGCTCGTAAACACATTGGCCTTAATTTCCTATACTCTTTTTTAAATAAAGACGAGCTTGTACTTATTCTTAATTAAACTATTTTCTAGAATGTTTAAATCTCTTTAGAAATGTGGAAAATGGAAATAAAGAACAAATATTTAGTATCTTTACTTCAAGACCTGTGAAAAATATGTGCACCTAAACAGAATTACAATTATTTTGAATACTTTATAATTAATTATATAAATTATTAAATATTTAAATATATACTAAAATCCTTCATGCCAACTGATTTGCGAAACGGTGAATAAAATTTCTTTCGTCGCATTGAGATTTCTAGAAAGAATATCAAACACGTGTATTTCAAGTGATCCTTTTGAAAGAATAGGCAAAATTACTCCGCCATTTCGCATATTTTCAATAATTTTGCCCCAACTGTTCTCATTCTGCAGTCTCCGACATCCTCTAACGCGATGCAGATCAATGGCGTATACATATACATAGCAACGCGATGTAGAGTACCTATCGACGAGATGTAGCAAACCGGAGAGGGATCAAACGCCGTCGGATTATAGCATAGCTTTGCTGATCGGTCGGTTTTTGCTGATCGACGACGACGACGACGCGTCAAAGAGAAACTCAGCGTTTCATCACTCACCCATGAATTTCCCGCTGGTTTGAGATCGTTTGACAAATCAATTAAAAGATTTTTCTGGCTGTCGTTGCGCCGTTGTTGACCGTTCTGCTTATTTTGCTCATTAATCTTGCCGGTAGTGCTCTTTGTCTCGCTGGCGCTCTTCTTCTCATTGTTATCTGCGATTAAAGATACAGAATTAGACGATACCAAACGGAAGTGTAATGAGATACGTGTTTGCCATTTGGATAAATATGGTAATTTTAAATAGATGGACTTGCAAATAAACACAGAAATGTCCCGTTTATGACGAAGTCTCGTAGAGCATTGAGATATATTAAATAAATTATAGCCATCTATTTGCAGTTTATCCGTTTGCAGGGATTTTAGTACAAATTACATACAGTGAATTATTTGTAATTTGTAATTACATCCAAAATTATATAAATCGTTTTGAAGCTTATATTTCGGGAAAAGTGGTTTTCAAATGGAAAAGATAGAGAAGAGAGTAAATTCAAAATTGATATGTGATTCTGAAGCATCCCGTACGCATAAAGAATATTAAAATCTTGTTTTTCATAGCATATCACGATAGAAAGATTGAAAATATGAATTTAATTTTACCGGATGATATAAGACAAATATTTATTTCCAAAACGAAACGCGAATTTCCCCGAAGCTCTGCACCCAAATATTCGATGCAATATGCAGAAGCGAAACATTTCCATGCAATATCCATAAAATGAAATCCTTAAAAATAGCGATTTAAAAATCAATAAACCAGCGAGAAAAATAGAGAGTTGCATCGATCAATTATGAAAATATTCATTTAATCTAACGGGTCTACTACCTTCTTGCACAAAATTTAATATTTCAGAAGTGACAAAAAATTGCCAACAGCATTAAAAATTACTGAGTGAAACTAAGAAGTTATTCCCAGACTAACTACTATTTATAGCTTACATTTCGCAAAAATTATTTATTTAACTTAATAATTTTACTGTGATAAAAAGAGAAATGTGATATTAAATGTACCTACAACATACACAGAAACTAGACGAAATGGAGTTACACCCACTTTGGAAGCTGAATTCAAGCGCGATTTATAATTCGCACTAGATTTCAGGAATTTAGAATTCTATCTCTAATTTTATCCACAGTATATTTCCATGTTTATAAGTACTTTAATACGTGTTATATTCACGCTCATTTCAAATGCCTTTGTATTTCATGTTATAAAATTATAATTAGAATTATACATTTAAAAAAATCTAATTAAAAATTTACGAATTTCAACACGAATTATATGCAGATCGTCTGAATTTTACGATATACAATAGAATTAATATTGTCTTGCTTTTTCTTTAGCTGTAATACAAGTGACAAAAAGCAACAAATGCGAGATACCCAAAAGAGAAACTACAATATTATTCGGTATTTGTCGAAATGGCGCGTGTGCGTGTGTACGACACGATGCAATGTGTGTGCCATTCTGATATTAACGTACAATTTCCTGATTCTCTTGACCGGTGCCGGGAGGTATTCCGCAATATCCGTACTCTCGGCGGGTTAAGTGCAACGTCCATATAGGCACTGCACTTTAGGATCAACGCAGCAGCCGCCTCTTTATACCGCACTTGCTCGAATTCGCTGGAGATTAAAGCAAGTGGCAAGCTTCTCCCGAAGTGCAGAAACGAGAGCCAGCTGCATTTCTAATTACTGCGATCTTACATAACGATACGAGGTATTACACTTTTTCAGAATCTCTCGCGTAATTCGCGCGCTTCTTCGAAATTCTTTCTATAATCGCGTCATCTAATTCTTTTGTAAGTCCTGACTTTGTGCGACTCTAAATTTCCGCTCACACAAATACGAAATCCTTCTAAATTTCTAACCACGTGGAAAATCGCTCCGCTATATAGCTGTTGACTTTTTAACAAGGATTGGAAAATTTATTATAATTCTATATTGTAAAACTCAGTCTAGACGATCTATACAATTTGTAGCAAGGTTTCACACAAATAGAGTCCTAATTATAAAATTACAAGACTAACGTTTCCTATATTCGTTCCATTTCCTTTAACCTCTTAGTTTTCATATATTTTAACGAAAGAAACCCCCCCCCCCTCTCTCTCTCTCTTTCTCTCTCTCAAGACATTAAGACGAGATGCTCGGAAAAGGTATACCAGTACGAAAAATGTCCTCACCGATCCTGTCACCTGTCGAGGGAGGGCTCTTATCTTGCGCGTGATGGATCCTAGGATCGGACTGTGACAACTGCCACGCCTGATAAGCTGTGTTGAAGGCCTGCGCTACAGTCAGCGTCACTGTCTGTGCCATTTTTCTTTTCGGGCAGAGAAACGCGTGGCACTCCATCGTCTCGTTGAGATTCGTCGCGATGAACGCGAACACGTGATCGTGCGTCGCATCCGCCGAGCATACGAATTCTGAATAAAGAATNTATGAAAGG